TTTACGACTAAGTTCCCCAACATTCTGGAAAACAGAAGAGCTGGACCTGTATGTGTTTTTTTACTTTGGGTCAGGTGTGAGTCAGTTTTCTTTTAAAAAGAAAGGTTCCATCCTTAGTCTAGCACTTTCATCAGTTATCAGACTGGCTTTGCATCACCATGCCATTGTCCGTTGGCTCAGGTGAAATAATTCATTATCTCTGGTGGGATTGTTTTGCCAGTTGAAGCTTCAAGAAGCAGTATAATGCAACCCTACTCACAAGGTTCCTGGGTGCTGGGCATGCTCTAGGAGCTTTGTATGCATTAATTAATGTCGTCATCTCAGCCCTGTGAAGTAGATGCTATTAATAGCCCCATTTTAAAGATGAGGAAATAGAGAGGTTAAGTAACTTGTCTGAGATCTCACGGTGTGTGGCAAGGCTGGGAATCAGAGACCCAGCTGGTCTAGATTTAAGTATGTGTTCTTAATCAGTACATGCTTCTGCTTTTTAAACCGAGATGGCTAACGTTCTTTTCTAGGTTTTTCCACTTTTTTAGGGGGTGCTTGTTCTGAGTTTTCATCCTAGTCTCCTTTCCCCATTCAACTTACAGAGTCCTCTTACATGGGTAGTAATTGTGTTTACCTTCCACTGTGAGACTTCTCCCTGCAACCAGCGGCTCTGCTGGGAGTGGGGAAGGGGGTTTTTCCTAGAAAGTGGCAGAGGGAAGAGAACACAGGTTTGTTTGTTTGTTTGTTTGCTTGTTTTCTGGTCAATGGAAACTGACCTGACAGACATTTATCCTCCACAGAAGTGCAGAGAGAAGATCTTTTTACTCTTACATACAGTCGATGGGTAGTTCTTTATGACCAATTGCCCACATTTAGAGATGTTCATCCCAAAGTGTGGTGTCTCTCTAGGTCTTCCGGGTCAGTCTAGTTAGGCAGTTTCTTTAAGGGCCACAGATACCAAATACAGATACCAAATGGGTGGATACCACCCTTTCCAGGTAACTCTCGAGCACTAGAGAGCCCAGTGACCCTCCATAATGAGCTATAATATCAGAGATTTTGGCTCCTGGATTGGAAGAAAGGCCTTCTAGATTCTTTTTTTGTTTCTGTCTTGTTTTGTTTTCTGTTTTTGGAGAAAGAGAGAAGGAGTCCCAAACCTGCTCACCTCTTAGAAAAGAGTAAGAAAAAGAGTAAGAGAACTTACTGGCTGAGATGTTTTCTCCAGGTACTACCAGTATGTCGGCCTCGACTGCTGTGTTGTTCCAGAGAGAGAGCAGGGGGTGCTGGGGGGTGGGGAGAGAGAGAGGAGAATCGAGAAAGCATATTCAGAAATTTTGCTGCTGGGATGCCTTTTTAAGATGTTTAGAATGTAGGTGGTGGCCTGTGGCTTAAAAGCATCACCTAGGAAAACTCTCCAGACACGATGCTCGACCTGAAAGGATAATTACAGCAAACCTTTCAATGTTGCCACACGGGGTTGTTTCCATTTGAACTGGGTGCGTGGGTTGTTCCCATGAAGCTTGTGAATCATGCTTGAACACACTGACCAGATATTTCTAGCCAGCCCCATATCCAGAGGATTCATTTCCTATAAAAGACATTTGATCGCAGTGTTGAAACAAGGCATTCCAGGTTTGCCTGCCCCGAGACTAACCCATGGCGGCGTCAAGGGTGCTGATTGCCTCAGCCTAGAAATTATTCCTAATCTAACATGAACCTCTTCTCTTCTCTTTGGAGATACTTTCTTTTTCTCTTGAATTTTAATCTTTCCCCCTTCTCTCATTTAAAGTGTATGTTTGCTTCTAAGATATGTTTTTATTATTAAAACTTTAAGTTGAAATCAAAATGAACAGAAATAGAATAGCAACTTACTCAGCTAAGGGGTTCATTTCTGTCTAGAGTAAGATACTTTTCTTCATTGTTTGAAAAATGGAAATTATGGGAATTAATCACAACATATAGTAATTATCTTCTAAAGAACATAAAGATCTCACTGATACCATCTAATTGCCTTGAAAAGACACTGGCAGGGTGAGATGGAGGGGGTTGAAACACTGTTTTTGGTGTCAATTCCTGTTTACAGAGGTAGAAACCTAGACATGATAAGTAATGTCAGAGCTTTTAAGAGACCCTAAGGATATAGGCTTTGAAGAGTCCATGGTGAGTGCCTAGAGTCTAAGCACAGAGAAGTCAAGAGGTACTTCTGAGGGTTAGAGCTTGGGGTCGCTGTCTTGGGGTCTAGTGTTTGCATTAGGCCTCAGTCCACAGCTGTTCACTACAGATGTGCCAGGGAACGAGGGGAAATGAGGAGCAGAAGAAAGGGCACTGGTCTTCTTGTTGACCACATGCCATGAACAAGTTACCATTCTCTCTGTGCCCAGATTCTCCATCTCTGACATTAAAAAGACGATTAGCTGCCGTCCAATACCTTCCTCACTCAAAAAGTCACATATTCTGTGCATTTCTGGATGAGGAGTAAAAATTTCTTGGATGGTTTCTCACTGGAAGCTGTGATGAGTAAGCTGGAGAAGGGTGCTTTGAAGAGTTGAAAAGCAAGCTTTTGCTACTGCAGATTATTTCTGTTCTTGTATCAGGTTCTAGTTGACCTTCCTAAGGAAATAAAAGTACTTACAATTTAATCTCATTATTGTGTGGCGTGGATGAGTCAGTTAAGTTTTCTGCCCAGCAGTTTCCTCATCTGTGAAATGGCATTATTCACAGTATCTACTTCATGATGGGGGGTTGTGAGGATTAAATGAGTTGATGATATTTATTAAATTATTGATCATGATTGATTAGCTCCATTTTATAAACAGGCAAATAGGCATGAAGAGGGGGAATCTGTAAGTGTGGCTGTCTATTAAGCTATATCCGAATCTAAGAGCCTCGAATAAGGAATCAAGTCATTCAGATCTTTAAGCCAAGAGTCCCTCGTCAGTGATAAAGCAGTGGCTTTTAATGCAGTGCACACACTTGAGACTTTTGCTAAAAATTGGGTTCCCAGGTCCCACACCTGGAGATGCAAATGCAGGAGACCTGGGGAAGACCCATAATCCAAATGATATAGAGGGTGTGGGCTGTGTGCTGGGGCAGGTGATGGGGGTCAGTTAAGGGATGAAAGCAAAGGGAAAGGGGGAAGCGTGGTTACCTCCATATTTGGAAGAGTTTAAACTAGCTATGATATAAAGCGGAGTCAACGAGAAGAAAGGAAAAAAAATCTAGAAAACGATATTTAAAATATCTCCCTTTAAAAAAAAAATTCTGGGGTACATGTGCAGATCGTGCAGGATTGTTGCTTAGGTATACACATGCCATGGTGGTTTGCTGCATCCATCCCCCATCATCTACATTAAGTATTTCTCCTAATGTTATCCCTCCCCAATACCCCTACCGCCTGCTATCCCTCCCCTAGCCCTTCCACCCTGCAATAGGCCTGGGTGCGTGATGTTCCCCTCCCTGTTTAAGAAATATAATTATGGACCCTCAGAGTGAAAGCAGAGAAATAAGCTTTGACCTCAGACTCTAGAGACTATGCTGTGTTTCCTGATTCATGTTTGTCTTTTGAGCTGTGCTAAAATTATACTTTCCCTCCCCGCAAGCCCCTTTTCTGCTGCAGCTGCTGACCTATGCTGAATTATGTCATAAAACCTTGAACTCCCTTTGGGGCTGTATAGGATACTTACTTAGCCTCCCAATTAAAAATCCAGATTTCCTATTGCCTTTAAAAGGTTTGACCACAGGCATACAACCAGAAAAGGGTTTTACATTCTCTTATATGAAGAAGACACTTTTAAAAAAAGCTGCAAGCCTTCGAGTGGCTAACTCCCGTTTTTACTGTGCGGTTTATAATCATGAATTTTTTTTTTTTTTTTTTTTTTTTGAGATGGAGTTTTGGTCTTGTTGCCTAGGCTGGAATGCAATGGCAGGATCTTAGCTCAACCTCTGCCTCCTGGGTTCAAGCGATTCTCCTGTCTCGTCCTCTCGAGTGGCTGGGATTACAGGAATACACCACCATGCCTGGCCAATTTTGTATTTTTAGTAGAGATGGGGTTTCTCCATGTTGGTCAGGCTGGTCTCGAACTTCCGACCTCAGGTGATCCACCCACCTTGGCCTCCCAAAGTGCTGGGATTACAGGCATGAGCCACCGTGCCCAGCCATAATCATGTATTTTTTTTAAAATCGTGAATGGCATGGGGGATATTTTGCTCTGCAAGGGAGGAAGGCATTCTATTTCTAGGATAATTTGAAAATAGCACTGCTGCGTCAGCTTAAGGTTAGCTTGAGTCCAGTGAGATTCCTAAACCCTAATTTTGTAGCTCAGGACATGTATCAGTGTCCACCTGGGCCCAGCACTGAATTAGAAAGAAAGGAAGAAGATGTGGAGGAAAACGATCTGTCTAGTTTTCAATTTAGGGAATAGGAATGCTCTTTTGCAAAGCACCTTATGGTTTATGAGACCCTTTCACCATCACAATTCTGCTTTATCCTTACAACCGTGTGATAGGTAGGGCTTATGTTGCTGTATTCCATTTGCTCAAGGTCATATGTGCACGGGCTAGATTGAGACTCCGTCCCAAAGTTTCTGAATCCCAGTTCCATGCCCTTTCCACATTTTCATCCTGCAGCCTGAGATAGTACTTAGATAACCACTGACGGGAAATACTTTGCCCACTCAGATGAGAGAGAAATTATTGATTGAAATGAGGTCATTCTGGGAGTTCTGCATTCCACTTGGCTAGTGTAAGTTGCTACTTGTCTGGAGGAAGTAAATCATTGAGCTGTAAGTTACACAATGTGTGTGTCTTTGATGTGGGCATCAGGCATTGACTGATACGTGATACATACCCTGAGAATTGAAAAATGCTTTATTGAGTAGAATTGTGGGCTTGATCACAGGAAATCTGTTTCTTTTTTTTTTTTCCTCCCAACAGTTAAACACTATTAAAACTCCAAAATCAAGACCGGATAGCTAAATTCATGAAGAAAGAATTTTAAAATGAGATAATGACAAAAATAGGTCTAGGGCTATAGCTAAAAGCCAAACTTACATACAAATAACATTGGTGTAGTGCTTTTCAGCATTCAAAGCAGTATCACATAAGCCATTTCATTTGATCTTCACAACAACCCTGTGAAGTAGGCATGATCATCATTTAGCAAACACAGAAATTAAATTTGATGAAGTCTAAATGTTTTCCCCAGGGTCACAGCTGGGAAATGCAAGTGTAGGCCTTTTGACCTCACATCTGTGTTTGATTTTGAATTATTTCTCAAAACCTCTGACAATGTCCAATGATTATTGTTGGGAATGACTTACATATTCTGTGACTATCCTGTAAGAAACCGTGATGACGGCTGGCATATAAATGATGCCTTCTCACACTGGGACTGCCTTGCGCTTACAAGCAGCAATTATTCACTATTGCTTTTCTGCAAAATGTGTGGATCTTAAGTCCATTTACTCTGATGGATAGATTGAAGCAGGAATCTAAGCTATGTTTTCTTTGTCACTCTTCACAGGGAGGGGAAGAAGCAAGGGTTATTTCTTGAGAGTTCCAGCTAAATGTTCCTTGTCAAACAATCAGAACAAACTCCCATTCCCTAAAGAATAGAAAGAGAAATTGCAAACGTTTAATGAAAAGACCCATGCTATTTCTTCTAAGTGTTCTAGATCCACTCCCCACAACTATATCTCATTCTCAAATAAAATATTTGGAGAGCCTAATGGGTCACAAAGTTTTGGAGAACATGGACATTAAAAAAATATCTATGGAAAGGTAAAGTATGTTAGTATAGAGAAATCGTAATTAAGACAGTGGAGTTTAATAGGATCCATACTGGTAACTATCGACTCAAGGGAACTAAATAGTGAAGATTTTTTTTCCCCCTATTTATACTGTTCCTATGTATGATTCTTTCTGTATCCAAAGAAATTTAGAAGGGAAGGTTGTAGCTTTTCACCTTCATGTGCCAGTGGCCAAAAACAACCCCAAACTTGTCTGACTGGCTCTAAGGAGGAATGGAAGTAAACAAGCCCTGAGTAAACAAGAGAGACCTGCCCATCAATCACCTGTGTAGTCAAGCAATGTAGGCCATCTTCCTGGACGCTTACAAATCAGTTCCCATCCCTCAGATAAATGCAAAATGTCCTTCCAGAAAAATGTAATTTATTATCATGTTAGCAGTGGTGAGTTAGGGAAGGAGCAGAATAAAAGGCATTCTACCTAGCCACGGGGACCCGCTGTAGTAGTAAGAAACTAAGTACCTTAAGGGACTGGGGAGTTTCCTTAAACCTCTCTGGCAGGAGCATGTATTGGCCTCTCTTTCATAAATGTGGGTCATTTTCATCACCTTGGGATGTTAGACTTTGGTAGGTCTGATGATGAAGCAAGGCTGCACATGCTCGTAAGAAGAAATGACCTTCCCATCCTTAATCTCCTTGGTAATGGTGCAGATTTTAACCAGTATCCTGGACAGGGGTCCACAGGCACTGCAGGGCTCCTGTAAGCCACAGGAGGCTGAGGACGTGCAAGCTGGGGCCGTGCATTCCATGGCTCTGGACTTACAAGATGTCCAAGGGGAAGGCTCACACTTAGTGGCACACGGATAGCAGGGAAGCCTAAGGAAAAAAACCAGACTTTTAGCCGTGATAGAGGAAAGGAAATGATGGTCATGGAGAAAAACGGTTGTGGCTAATTTTTTTTTAAAACACTTGTTGCTCAAGACAAGTACATACTTCCGAATGTTTATTCATTCATTTCATTCTGTAGTTAGTGGAAGACAGAGAATCAGATCAAATCATTTGGAAATCAGCATCCTAGGTTTAGAAGTATTCGATTATGTAAGTTTCCATTGGTCAATACTATTGCACTGTGGGAAGAATACCACACTCGTAAAAGACTGGGGCAGAGACCAGCTCTGTCCTTTACCAGCTGGCTGACCTCAGCTAAGTCATTTAACTCTCTCAAGCTAGGCTGGGCGAGGTGGCTCAAGCCTATAATCCCAGCACTCTGGGAGGCCAAGGCGGGTGGATCACAAGGTCAAGAGATCGAGACCATCCTGGTCAACATGGTGAAACCCCGTCTCTACTAAAAAAATACAAAAAATTAGCTGGGCATGGTGGCGCATGCCTGTAATCCAAGCTACTCAGGAGGCTGAGGCAGGAGAATTGCCTGAACCCAGGAGGCGGAGGTTGCAGTGAGCCGAGATCGCACCATTGCACTCCAGCCTGGGTAACAAGAGCGAAACTCCGTCTCAAAACAAACAAACAAACAAAAAAACTCTCTCAAGCTTTAGCTTTTCATCTGCAAATGGATATAATGGAAACTAAACCCACATGATCAACAGTGATAAGGAACAAGTTGAGGGGATTATTATCTGAGGAATGGAAATTAATCAGATATTTTTCTCATTGGGGACTTAGTCATACTAATAGTGGTGGCCTAAGCCCCAGCTATGAAAGAGTCCTCACTGTGTCATCGGGAAGCTTCAAAGTGGCTTCTAGCTGTCTATATATAGTTTTTAGGGAATTGGAGTAAAAAGCAGTTCATAGTAAACACTCTTTTTATAAACATAATCCTTCTTTGATGATTTGAGGCACTTTGGTATATGATCATAGCTCCCTAAGGTGACAGCATTGATTACCATTGTGCTCATATAATGTGGTTGTGCCAATTAGAAGAATGCTATGAAGAGTTCACTGATTACTTTGGGGAAGTAGGTCTCCTTTGCCATTGTAACTAAGTCTCTGGGGTGTTAGTTTGGACTGAGTTACTTCAGGGAACTCATCCTCCAGGTATGTTTCTTATGGGTTGTTTAGCTTCTTATTGTTTACAAAAATTACAACTTTAATTTTTAATTCAGTTTTTCTTTTCGAGATAGAGTCTCGCTCTGTCACCAGGCTGGAGTGGAGGGGTGCAATCTTGGCTCACTGCAACCTCTGCCTTCCCGGTTCAAGCGATTATCCTGCCTCAGCCTCCCGAGTAGCTGGAACCACAGGCATGTGCCACTACGCCCAGTTATTTATTTATTTATTTTTGTATTTTTAATAGAGACAAGTTTTCACCACGTTGGCCAGGATGATCTCAATCTCTTGACCGCATGATCTGCCCTCCTCAGCCTCCCAAAGTGCTGGGATTACAGGCATGAACAACTTTTATTTTTTAAAAAAGATGTAAAAACACACACGTGTACTTGCTGCTGTTGGCATCAAGAACTAGTGACTAGATAGGGTTAGGGGTTTCAGCCTGAGCAGAATGGTCCTCCAAAGGAGTCTGGGTTGTTTTGTAGCAGCTCATGAAAAGCAGATGTTCATCTCAGTGGGGAAAGATCTGTAATGGTCACTAGGAATATTCATCTATGGGAAAACCATTTTTTCTCTAGTCGTTTTTAAAACTCTAAGAAGCTAAGCAACCTGTAAGAAATTAACCCTGCACATGGGCTCTTTAAAACAGCTCAGCTTAGCCAACGCCTCAAATTTGGATGAGGTTACAATTGTAAGTCTTCCCCATGGCACAGCTTGAGAGGGCCTGCGGTTGCCTCTATCTAAGCTCCACATCACCGGCCAGAAGGTCAAACAAAGCACTTGTCCCTCATTGCCAGTGGCAGTACATATATGCATTCATTTGCACTTCTTTGTCATAGAAGTTGTTGTTATTTTACATACTTGCCATCCAGGCTCTCCAGAAGGCTGCGGTATGTAGTAATCTCACACTCCAGCCGGGACTTGACATCCAGCAGGATCTCGTATTCTTGGTTCTGTCTTTCCAGGGCACACCGGATCTCTGCCAGCTGAACCTCCAGGTTATCAATCAGACTCTGGATCTGGGTCAGCAGGGCTGTGTAGCGAGCCTCTGTCTCTGTCAGGATGCACTCCTGGGAATCTCTCTATCATGGAGGAGGAAAGTAGGATTTATAATGATGACTGATGATTATAAATCCAGGTCACCTGTGACCTGTATCATTAAAAAAAAATGGTTTCTTTGTGACACTACTAATAGATTTCCAAGCCCTTTATTTCTTGCTTCCTAATCAAATAAATCAAAACCCCAAATGATCAACTATGCTAAAATCTGCTTTCCTTGATCTCTTCCCTCTTTCTCTCTCTTTTTTGCCTCTCTTTAAGTGTTTCGATTCCTTTTTCTTGACCACCTGATAATCTCCCACCACACTTTCCTACTTAGGAGAGAAAAAAAAATTAACTTTTGCACATACAGGCATTAAAAATGCATTACCATGGCACTTCATTCAGTGAGTGTTTCTGTCTTAAAAAGAAAGCAAGCAGTGTTTAACTATATACAATTTCTTCACCAGACCAATTCCTTTATATGTAAACTATGAAAGTTAAAACTGATGAGTAAATTTGATTCCTGCGCTATCATTCTGTAAGTCTATGGATAATGATGGGATTTTAGGTTTGAATCGCCTATTATTTGCATGATTATCCCAAATTTTTATAGATGAGAAAACTGAGGTTCAAGATGTTCAATATGTTGTCCAAGCCCACATGACTAGCTGGTGAAAAAACCAGTGTGGGGCAAGGTCTTCCTAAAACCCTTCACGTCGGAGCATTTAAGCAGTTCTCTGCTTCAGAGAGGCATTATCATGAGACAGAATGGCACTGGCATTGGAATCTCAACTCTGGCTCAGACTCTTGTGACTCTGGACAAGTTTCTTAACGTGTCAGGATCTCAGTGTCTCTCTTTATAAAATAGGTGGGCTGAAACTTACCTTGGGTTTGCTGGGGAAAATCACCTTAGCTCTTGGAACCTCATCTGTAACATTCATTAATAATTACGCCACTCCCCCCATAGGATTACTTTATAAATCTCACGTGATAGCTTGTAAAAATGCTTTGCATATAATAAAATGCTCTCCCAGTGTTTCCCAAAGTGTATTTCATGAATCATTAATACCATGAGATTTTCTAAACAAAGCAGGGATCCATAGTCAAATAAGTTTTGGAATGCTGCATAACGCGTATCCCCTTCTTGGAGATTCATGGTGTATATTTGCTTATTAAAGGCTCACAGAAAGGCACCCTGTTTAACCCTGGTTTAGTCCAGCATTTCCCAGACTTATTTGGCCACAAAGTCCCTTTTTAGCCTTAGACCCTTTAACAAACAAGGAACTATTGTTCTAAGAGACACAGTTTGGGAAATACTGCAACACACAGGTGTCAGGGACTGCTGCCACTTTTGCTGTGGTAGGCTTGGCCAGCTTGCTCGGTACCATTCGATGCTGGGCCTGCAGCTCAACCTCCAGAGTGTTCACAGTGCATCTCAGTTCGATGATCTCCTTTTGGCAGCATTGCTGCTGCTGAGAGCTGGTCACCACTTGTTGATTCAGCTCCTCCATCTGAAACACAGCCAGAGACTGAGGCTATTACGGGAGGAAAACACAACTTTGAGTAAAGGGTCCTAGAAATGCAGCCTCAGCTTATTGCTTTTGACTTTTCTATTTCCCCCACCTGCGCGTTGAACCATTGTTCTGCATCTTTGCGGTTTGTCTCCATGATGGACTCATAGTGACATCTCATTTCTTGTAGGACCTGGTTTAGGTCAACAGAAGGAGCAGCAGTCACTTCAATGTGAAGTTTCTCCCCAAGCTGACACTGTAAAGAATTGATTTCCTATGGGAAGAAAAAGAATGTGAAGTCACTCGGTGAACCGAGGACTCCCTTGTGTTCTTGCTTCAGTCTAACTGCTGTGATTTAGCATAATTGTGTCTAAAATACAGCCCACAACAAAGGAATACATGCTTCACAGGTGTTATTAAGCGGCTATAAAATGATTTAAGGCTATTTCAAGTAGGACTGTGTGTTTAAATATGTGCAAAATTTTTAAAAAATGAGTAGCAAGACCAGAGTTCCAAAAAATTTCGATCATTTCCAGGGCTGGATAATGGGTGAAACAGCATAAAGGTGAAATCGATCATAAGAGATTGTAGTCTCTATGGTGCAAATATGGGATTGTGCCAATATTGACTCGTACCAATGGGAGGTGGCAGAAGTCTGCGCAGAGATGCCTAGGCACAGGGGAAGACTGTAAGGACAGAAAAATTGGGTTCCTTCTTGTGGAAGAGCTGGAGGGGATGGTGGAGGACTTTCTTTCCCTCATGGCCCCAGATATTGTGTTGGAGCCAGTGGATTTGAAATACTCCATTGAACCAGTGGTAGTAGCAGTAGGTATTTTCAGGGCTAAACCAGAATAGTATGTAACAGTGATATGGTTTGGTTCTGTGTCCCACCCAAATCTCATCTTAAATTGTAATTCCCATAATTCTCACATGTCAAGGGAGGGACCCAGTGGGAGGTGGTTAAATCATGGGGCAGTGTCCCCCAGTGCTGTTCTCAGGATAGTGAGTGAGTTCTCACAAGATCTGATGATTTCATAAGGGTCTCTTTCCCCTTTGATCTCTCTCCTGCTGCCAAGTGAAATATGCCTGCTTCCCCTTAAGCCATGATTGTAAGTTTCCTAAGGCCTCCCCAGCCATGTGGAACTGTGGCTCAATTATACCTCTTTCTTTTATAAATTGCCTACTCCTAGGTATTTCTTTATAGCAGTGTGAGAATGAACTAATATAAACAGGGACACCCTTTGTCAGGTGCGACTCAAAGGAACTGATGCTACTCTTAAGGGCTTAGCTTGTGATTACTCTCTTGGTTCTTTTCTCACCTCTTTGTGGTTGTTCTTGAGGCAAAGGAGCTCCTCCTTCAGAGACTGAACTTGTACCTCCAGGTCTGCCTTGCCCAGGGTCAGCACATTCAGGATCTGCTTAAGGCCATTGGCATCTGCCTCCGCCAGCTGGCGTAGAGACACCTCAGCTTCATACCTTTAAAAACCAGACGGGAAAAGCGAGACATCTGAAAGGAGATGATGCGAACTAAGCCAAGAAGAACTCCGGTCTGTATTTTACTCTGGGCATCTCATTTGGTGTATTTCCACTGAAGGTTTTATTCTCTTTAGAGGTGAAACCATTTGATAAAGATCATAACTTAATTATTATTCCCAGAATAGTTTGCTAGGGCCATCTGCATCGCTGCCCTTTGAGATGTGGGAATTTATTGTCCTTCCTCTGCCCCTAGTGGCAATGCAATGTAAGTGAAGAAAGCACTGGATTAGAGCTCAGAAAACTTGGGTCCAAATTTTGGCTTTGACCTGTACTAGCTGTGCTTACCTTTGGGTAAGCAACTTAACCTCACAGCTTTCTCACCTTAAAGGGGACAACAATCTACCCATTTTACCAAACGATTGTGTAGGTAATCAGATGGGTTCACAGGTTAGAAACTATAGGTACTGTATACTTAGCCGTTATTAATCTTAATCATTCATTGAATTTGAAAGTCTTTTCTGGGCTTGTGCCAACATGGTCTGGGGCAAGGTTAGTAGGTGTGGGGATAATTTTGCTGAGGGCATCTTGGTCAGACTCAGGATGAGCTCTGTCATGGATGACAGAGTTGGGTGGGCTTACTTGGCTCTCAAGTCATCTGCAGCCAGTTTGGTGTTGTCAATTTTCGAGACCAGTCTGGAATTCTCAGCCTTGGTACACAAGATCTAGAATTAAGAAATTGTACACACAAATGAAACACACACCAGGATCTCCTTCTTTAAGAACCAAGGGGCTTGTGTGTGTGTGTCACGTAACAGGGGAAGATGAAGTAGACTTTTGATTAATCTTCATAGCTATGCTCAGGAAACTTGGAAAACTTTGGAAAGTCAGATTTTCTGTTATTGTCCTAAAAGATCAGCAAAGATTACTTAACTTTTAAGTATTTTTGTTGTTGTTGTTAAAATATGAAATCCAGACCAGGCACAGTGACTCATGCCTGTAATCCCAGCACTTTGGGAGGTGGGGTGGGTGGATCACGAGGTCAAGAGATCAAGACCATCCTGGCCAACATGGTGAAACTCTGTCTCTACGAAAAATACAAACATTAGGTGGGTGTGGTAGTGCATGCCTGTAGTCCCAGCTACTAAGGAGGCTGAGGCAAGAGAATCGCTTGAACCCAGGAGGCAGAGGTTGCAGTGAGCTGAGATTATACCACTGGACTCCAGCCTGACAGCAGTGAGACTTCATCTCAAAAAAAATAAATAAATAAAAATAAAATAAAATCCATCCTAAATTTATATAAATACCACGATCTACTAGAATGTCAACTCCATGAAGGCAGGGGCTTTTCAAAGTTCATCAATATTTTCCCAGAATCTAGAACAATCTTTGGCCCGTTGTTGTTGCTGCTCAATAAATATTTGTCAAATGACTAAAACTGAATAAATCCAGATGTGTAGTAGCAGAATATCTCTGTGCATTACAAAGTTAGGTTTGGTGTAGAAACAAACCAAGCAATGTGGACATGATAACACAAGCATCAACGGAGAAAAAGGGTGGTGATGGTTGCAAAATGGATAAAAACTAAACTGTTTAGGAACTCATTAAAACAAAATTTGTTTTCTCTGATCTCCATTGTCTTATTTTCATTTAAAAAATGACAGCAACTTGCTGTTAACATTTTTTTTGGTCCTGAGTTATCTAGTTATAATGGTAGAGTGTATTTCTGGAGAAAAGAAACACTAACAGACTCTTTTTTTTTTTTTGAGACAGGGTCTTGCTTTTGCCCAGACTGGAGTGCAGTGGCAGGATCTCAGCTCACAGCAGCCTCTAGTTCCTATGCTCAAGTGATCCTCCCACCTCAGCCTCCCATGTAGCTGGGGCCACAAGCATGTGCCACCATGCCCATCTAATTTTTGCATTTTTTTGTAGAGATGGAGTTTCATCATGTTGCCCAGGCTGGTCTAGAACTCCTGGACTCAAGCGATCTGTCTGCCTCAGCCTCCCAGAGTGTTAGGATTACAAGTGTGTGCCCACTACGCCTGGCTGGAAATACTATCAAGACTCTGAATGTTGCCTCAAGATGACAATTTCACTCAAGGTTTTTTTTAATTCTTCAAAAAAAATTTTAGCATCAAATGAACAAAAATATTAATGTTTAGCAAACAGCTGTTGCTTGGAAAGCATCAATTCACAACATGATTAAACAATTCCCAGGAATCTTACCTTCTGCTGGAGCTCCTCGATGGTAGTGTAGTAAGACAGGTAATCAGGACATAGAACAGGGAGCTCTTTGTTACTCTCTTCCTGGATTTTAGACTCCAGTTCAGCATTCTCTCGTTCTAGCATCCGCACCTTTTCCATGTAGTTAGCAAGGCGGTTGTTCAAGATTTGCATGGTCTCCTTCTCATTACTGTTGATGCCTTCACTATACCAGCTGCAGTCATCCAGAGAGGAGCGAGCATTGAAGTTGTTTAGTAGGTAGATGGGCATGCAACAAGAGCAAAGGGTGGGTCGGCAGCCCTGGTCCTGGAAAATTCTCTGAACGTGGCCAGCTGGTTGACGGTTGTTGACTTTAAGACTGCCACGTTGGCAGCTGTTGTTAGAAGAGATGGTACTAACATTTGTAATCCTAGAGCAGCTTTGACATGGGGTTGAAGGAGAATTGGTTGTTGTACGGCCTTTGGTATCCATACTATGTGTCTGGCTTTAGTTTGTTTCCAAGTCTGTGGTCACCAGGATGAAAAGCTCAAGCCACTTGCTCAGAGTCTAAATTCCAAGGCTCTCGGTGTTTTCCTCTTTGAAGTGCTTATATAGCCTCTCCTCTACATGGTGTCACACAGGTGGGATGTTTTCCTTTCTCAGGTTTATATCAAATCCCATAGGAACATCTTATTAGTCTGCTTTTTACTTGCTTAAGAAGAGTTACTTGTCTCATAAAAATGTGCATTTAGGCTGTTACTAAGTTATTACCCATCACAACTACTACTTGTCTATTGGACCCAGAGCTTCAAATTATGTCTTCAAAAGGAACTGTCCTAACAGCATCCATTATTAAGCAGGTGTGAGTATATTAAGCTCATTACGTTCCTGTTGACCTCTTCACTTGGCACTGAGCTTAACCAGGAATGAGTACATCCTTCTTTTCCTTTCTTCTCTAGAAAAGGGAAACTATTAATGTCAAATAATAATTGGTAGACTTAGAAATCAGAAATCAATATTTTAGTTTGTTGTGCCCAAATGATTTCCCCATTTTTAGTGTCAGGGCACTGTGAGTATGAATTAAAATGTTAGTCTTTTAAAAGGCTTGTTTTAAAGATAATTGCTAGATTTATGTTTTAGCTTTTCATAAAATATGATAAAATAAAATATAAAACAAAAGCCACAGGGAAAAGGTAGGGTTTGATTGCTGATAAGAAATTTTTTGGAAAAGAGGCTTGCTATCTTTCAGTTTTCCAAAGCCCACATTTGTGTTTGCTCGTGGTATTACCTTAGCTAAAAATTCGTCACAGTGTTGGTTTATACTGGATGTTTAAATAGGATCCATCGAAAGATGTGTGTTTTCTTTCTGAGTAATTATTCCTCAGAAAGAATTCTTTTGTTCTTTATTCTTTCTGAGGAATACTTACTCAGCATTTTCTTAAGAAAGTTACTTGTTCCTAATCCTTTATGGAGGATCTAGGGCAGGCATCTCCAAACTTTTTACACAGGGGGCCAGTTCACTGTCCCTCAGACTGTTGGAGGGCCGCCACATACTGTGCTCCTCTCACTGACCACCAATGAAAGAGGTGCCCCTTCCTGAAGTGCGGCGGGGGTGGGGGCAGATAAATGGCCTCAGGGGGCCACATGCAGCCCGCAGGCCGTAGTTTGGGGACACCTGATCTAGGGGAACACCATTTTCTTGCCTTTTCCAGCTTCTAGAGGCTGTCCATATCCTCAGCTAGTTGCCTCTTTTCATCTTTTTTTTTTTTTTTAATTATGAGATTTGTTTATACTTTAAGTTCTGGGATATATGTGCAGAACGCACAGGTTTGTTACACAGGTATACACGTGCCATGGTGGGTTGCAACACCCATCAACCCGTCATCTACATTCGGTATTTCTCCTAATGTTATCCCTCCCTAACCCCTGCACCCCAAAACAGGCCCAGGTGTGTGATGTTCCCCTCCCTGTGTCCATATGTTCTCATTATTCAACTCCCACTTATGAATGAGAACATGCAGTGTTTGGTTTTCCATTACTGTGTTAGTTTGCTGAGAATGATGGTTTCCAGCTTCATTTATGTCCCTGCAAACAAAAGACATTACCTCATCCTTTTTTATGGCTGCACAGTATTCCATGGTGTATATGTGTAACATTTTCTTTATCTAGTGTACCACTGATGGGCATTTGGGTTGGTTCCAAGTCTTTGCTATTGTGAATAGTGCTGCAATAAACATACATGTGCATGTGTTTTTATAGTAGAGTGATTTGTAATTCTTTGGGAATATACTCAGTAATGGGATTGCTGGGTAAAATGGTATTTCTAGTTCTAGATCCTTGAGGAATTGCCACACTGTCTTCCACAGTGGTTGAATTAATTTACACTCCCACCAACAGTGTAAAAGCATTTTTGTTTCTCCACATCCTCCCCAGCATCTGTTGTTTCCTGACTTTTTAATGATCACCATTCTAACTGGCCTGAGATGGTATCTCATTGTGGTTTTGATTGGCATTTCTCTAATGATCAGTGATGATGAGCTTTTTTGCACATATTTTTGGGCCACATAAATATCTTCTTTTAGAAGTGTCTGTTCATATCCTTTGTAGATTAGGTTTTTTCCTTGTAAATTTAAGTTCCTTGTAAATTCTAGATATTAGCCCTTTGTCAGATGGATAGATGGCAAAAGTTTTCTCCTATTCTGTAAGTTGCCTGTTCACTCTGATGACAGTTTCTTTTGCTGTGCAGAAGCTCTTTAGTTTAATTAGATCCCATTTGTCAATTCTGGCTTTGTTGCCATTGCTTTTGGTGTTTTAGTCACGAAGTCTTTGCCCATGCCTATGTCCTGAATGGTATTACCTAGGTTTGCTTTTAGAGTTTTAATGGTTTTAGGTCTTATGTTTAAATCTTTAACCCATCTTGAGTTAATTTCAGTATAAGGTGTAAGGAAGGGGTCTAGTTTCAGTTTTCTGCATATGGCTAGCTAGTTTTCCCAACACCAGTTATTAACTAGGAAATCCTTTCCCCATTGCTTGTTTTTGTCAGATTTGTCAAAGATCAGATGCTTGTAGATGTGTGATGTTATTTCTGAGGCCTCTGTCCTGTTCCATTGGCCTATATATCTGTTTCGGTACCAATACCATGCTGTTGTGTTTACCGTAGCCTTGTGGTATAGTTTGAAGTGAGATAGCATGATGTCTCCAGCTTCGTTCTTTTTGCCTAGGATGGTCTTGGTTATATGGGCTCTTTTTGGGTTCCAGTATGAAATTTAAAGTAGTTTTTTCTAATTTTGTGAAGAAAGTCAGTGGTAGCTTGATGGGAATAGCATTGAATCTATAAATTACGTTGGCACTATGGCCATTTTCACGATATTGATTCTTCCTATCCATGAGCATGGAATGTTTTTCCATTTGTTTCTGTCCTCTCTTATTTCTTTGAGCATCTTTAAACCCAGCAAGACCCACTTGAGCCTATCTCCTGGTATGTGAGAAAAAAGTCTCTGGTACAGACTTCTGCCTCCCTCTTCCAAATTTAAGGACCCCTGTGATCACACTGGGTCCACCCAGATAATCCAAGATAATCTTTCTACTTTAAGCTCAGCTGATTTGCTTTTCTTCCCATTTGCCTTGTAGCCTAACATATTCACAGGTTCTGGGATTAGGACATGAGCCACTTTGGGGATCATTATTCTGTGTATTATAGAATGGAAGGGGAAAAACCCATAATTTACAGTAGCCCCAACAAATATAAAATATGTATGAATAAAGTTAGAAAGGTACAAAATCTACATGAGTAAAATGTTAAAACATACTGAAATACAGAAAACTAGAATAAACAGAAAGATATTTCCTGTTCTTGGAGAGAAAAATAGTATTCATCATTAAAAATATTGATTGTCTCTATTTTAATTTAACTTACAGCCTGATAAACTTCAGACAATTCTGAAGTTTTATGAGTAAAATTAAACAAATAGGAATATCCAAGAATATCCTGAAAAATAGTCTTTCCAGATACTAAAATATGTTTTAGAACTTCAGTTATTAAAATAGCATGGCACTGATGCATAGTCAGACAGACCAACAGAATATAGAGAATCTAGAAATAGATTCCTGAACAGATTGGAATTTAGTACATGATAAACATGACATTTAAAATCAATGAGACAACTGGGCATGGTGGCCTGCACCTATAGTTCCAGCTGCTCTGGAGGCTGAGGCTGAAGGATTACTTGAACCAGGAGTTCAAATTCAGCCTGGGCAACATAGAAAGACTTCATTTTTAACAAAATAAAATAAATAAATAATAAAAGCCATGGGGGAAAAGGTAGACCATTATATGTACTTTGGCGACAATTGTGTATTCCCTTTGGTGGGGGACACAGAATATTGAAACCATATGCATTCTTTATAGTGGGACAAATTACAAGTAGATCAAAGATCCAAATATGAAAAATAAATAATACATGTGCTAAAAGAGGATAATTATTTTATAAATTTGGAGTCAGAAGACTTTTCCAATGATGACTCAAAATTAAGAAACCATAAAAATCTTACACTTTCAACTCCATAAAATAACAGTGTTTGAACTTTTGCTTGGCTGAAAAATGTGACCTGTAAAACCAGAAGACAAGATGATAAACTGGGAAACAATATTGCAATCACACTATAGACAGTTACCAAAAGGAAAATACAAAAGGCACTTAAAATAAGAAAAAGTACTCTATGTCACTCATGAAAAGAGAAATGTAAATTTAAATTATACTGAGATACTTCAGTTTTCTACCTATCAGACTGAAGAAAATCAAAGTTTGGTAACAGATACATTGCACTGCCCTTAGCACTCTCATCACTTGCGGCAATGAAATGTAAATTCATGCAAGTTACTTCAGTACATAATGGAAACAGTATGATATTGGTGTAAGGATTGGAAAGCAGATCAATGAGAAAGAATATAGAGTTTAGAAACAGATTCAGTTATATGTGGTCAATTGATTTCTGACAAAGATCCCAAAGCAAGTCAATGAGAAAAGGAAAGCTTTTTCAGTACTGTTTTTCAATACTGTTCAATACTTGTTGCTGAACCAAGTGGCTACTTGTATCACAAAAATGAATCAATCCTGATTTCTATACTCATGCTGTGTATAAAAATTCATTCAGATTGGATTAAATGCTTAAATGTGAAGATTTCAAGTGTAAAGGTTTTAGAAGAAAGCTTAAAAGATTATATTTATAACCTTGTGCCATGCGAAGACTTCTTGGCTCATGGAAGATATTGTAATAAATAGATTAGACTTCATCAAAATAAAAACCTTCTGCTGATCAGATAAATAGTGAAGAAAAGTGAAAAGGCAAGCCACAGCCTGGGTGAAAATATTCTTTCTGTCTCTCTTCATATACCACCCCCTCCAGACACACACATTAGAACACATACATACACACAGTTGTATGTTTTGTAGCAATGGGAATATATTCTGAGAACTTCACCTTCAGTGATTTTGTTGTTGTGTGAACATCACGGTGGGCTTCATGAACCTGGATGGTATGGTCTATAACACATTTAGGCTTTTTG